ACTACCCAAGCGCGTTCCATGCAAATCAAAATGCTGAAGCCTGAAGGCAGCAAAGTCTTGAGCTGCCTTGGCTGGATTTATGGGAGAAATAAAAATCACAAGTGGAACAATAAAACAAATTGAGTACGCGGCAATATTTGTGACGCCTTGAGCGACATCCTCAATCACCCTTGGCCACATGGATGGGGGCAAAGGGACCGCTGACAGAGGATACGGAGAACAAAACTTACGCTGGCTTATAAAATATTTAGATATTAATGTATTTTAACTCTGAAGAATTAATATAAAATCCTTAATGTTGTCATAAAAACCGTAAAATATAGCGTGCAACTAAAATTGTTGATAGTAATTAAAATATGTATTAAATTATTATATACATAACTTTTGACAGACTTACGGTTTCTTATCGCGCTCCGTATCTTACCTCAGTTAGGTCTGCTCCAATTTGAAGTCGTTGCCCCACTCGGTCGTACTGATGGGCCTCTTATCTGCTGGCACTCCCCTGAATTGGAAAGAGACTAAGAACTACGCTGATCATGTCAGAAGGGAGGGAATAAAACAATTTCTGAAATCGTTTCATCAGCTTAAATATAGAGAAAAAGATACTCTTCTCTGGGGCGACGAAGTCGAATACACCTTAATCCTTCTCGACCCTGATACTAAGTCAGCTCAGCTTTTTTTAGGCGCTAACGATATTATGGACGTTCTTTCGCTTGAAGAACAAGAAGCTAAGCCGTGAGTTAGGTTTCCGCATTTTTGTAACTTGGCTATTTTGCGACCAAGCCTTGTTATCTGTTCTCGTCTGGGTATATTGATCTAAATTACTCGGGCACATTGTCACCTTCATCTTTTCTTAGAAATAGTTGCTTTAAGTATTCCATTTTGAAATTTTGTACTGTGTACCCATGGGATATAGTACGCTAGTGCATACCATATTTCATATTCTTATTACCGTAGGCCTAGTTTGCATTCCAATATTTGATACGACCGGTTTTTTAATAATGCATAATGTGTCTGTACGTTGATATGTGATTTAGTTTAGAAAAAATCGGTTATATCTCAAGTTATTGCCCTCCGTACTGCGCGCCGGAATGAGCCTTCGTATAGCGGGCCTCTACTATCTCATCCCAACTCTATCGGAATCGTATACCTGGCTTGCACTAGTCGTAATTTTCTTGTCATCTGTTCTCAGTGCTTGATTAGGCTGCAAACAACTTTGCTTATTACCCTAAGTCCTTCGCTTCGCTTACTTTCGAAACATACAAACCATTAATGTGTCCTATAAGACCCGGTTTTATTAATTTTTCTCCGACTTATGACTGAGCATATTTCACCGGTAATTATCTCTAGTACCACCATTATATTAGCCATTTATTTGAGA